GTTTCAATAAAGTCGGGGTGGGGGGGTCTATCAGTTGGATTAAATCTTCTGCAAAACTATCAAGTACTTGTAGCTTAGTAGCTAAAGCATCTGATGTGTTTAACCATGCTTCCTTGAGGCAAATAAGAACACACATTTGAATCTCATTGAAAGCTTATCTTTTATTTTTGATCAGTGCTGTCAACACACTGCTGTAGATTGATGGCCTGGATAAAGCTGTATTAAAAATAGTCAAAAATTAAGATCAAACTAAATACATAAAAAATTATTAAAGACTAGTAGTCTAACAATTTGTGCAGGGGTCACACATTGATTGAATATGTGGCAAGTCAGTTGATGGTATAAGCATTAATGCTAATATTTAAAAATTGAATTTCTGAAAAGCAGTGTTATGTTTTATATTTAAACCAAAAGTTCTCATCGTTGTTATTATGACATTTTGGCTGTTGCGTTTTCCATTTCTTCTTCGACTGTCAAACCCAATTAATGTTCAGGTAATTTGTAACTTTACATTTAATCTACAGTAGATTGTTCTCATTCTGCTGCCCATGTCTAGGAAAATTTGAAATCTACAAAAACAATTAACATTTATCATCCCAGTTTTTGACCCCAACCTTTAAGGTAGTTTCACAACACGTACATCCTGGCTCACTAATGTGTCCTGACATGTAGCCAGGTGTGCTCATAAGTTAACAGAAGAGTAATTTATGAATTATTTTTATATTTAAAAAAAGAATTTTTTTAAAAAGCTAGAGACACTAAACACATGGCTTCCATGTCTATGTCAAGTTTTGTTCTTTGAAATTTTAAACTGGATGCTAAATTATTTAATCTTTAAGCAGGAGTGGATGATCCTTTTCCTTTAGTCTGCCTCAGAAGATTTAAATCAGTCATTATTGACCTCTTTATAAAAAATAACAAATTCTTCATAAATCCCTTTAAATGAAAACTTGCTAATCTTCTTTGAGAATGCTAAACCAAAATTTCAGATTTTCAAATTTCATGACTAATTTTCCCTTATTAAAATTTAAAGTGTGCACCAGAATTTTAGTTATTGTACAAGTGCACACTGAAGTAAAAAAAGGTTCAGAAACACTGGTCCAAGAAACATAGGATCTTGTTAAAAGAAATATAGTTAAAATATATAATATTTAATTTTGTGAGTTCAATCCCTAGGTCTGGTAGTGCTCAAAGGTTATGTTCTAGTTCAGTTGAAGAAATGGATAAGTGACACAAAAGTGTAACTAGACTGGTGAGTATTAAATGTTACAAGTTATTGACACTTATTTTTCCTTAATAAATTTAAATTGCTCCCTAGAGTTTTTGTTATTCTACAGATAAAATGCCGACACCTGCAATCACTAATACAAGCTTTGTATCTACCATTGCAAAATTTGCTATCTGTTTACGGTCAGACTTGTACTTCTCTCACTGCAGGTGAAATGACTCACCTTTGCAAAGGTCAGCATTCGCTTTTATATTACCTGTCGCTTTTGATCTTGACTGTTGTTTATAATTGTTCTGTTACATTCCTGTCCACTATTTCCAAAAGTGAAAACAAAATGGCTAAATATACTTAAAAAACAAAATATTGCGTCGTTTAACTAAACTTGTATTAAAGAAGAACTGTTGTTAATGCACATTATTCATATAATACTATTATTTAAAATTTGCAATATTTGTAGGAGAAAAGTGCTCAATATTGGGGATAATGTGCTTGTAGATATAAACAGTATGGATATAAAAATCAACACTATATGGTGACAGGGAATTTTTTTAATCCTTTTGCCACAATAAAGGCAGTAATGTGAGAGAATATGAGAAAAAGAAAACATTATTAATGAGAGAGGACAATAAAAGAACTGGAATTAAGAAAACTGAAGATAATGATTGACATTGCATGTATATTTTTGGAGATCAAGCTGAGAATATGAGAAAAAGAAAACATTATTAAGGAGAAAGGACAATAAAAGAACTGGAATTAAGAAGACAGAAGATAACAGTTGACATTGCATTTAAATTTTTGAAGATCAAAGTTGATTGGAAAGCAAGAAGTCAAGAAAGAAAAAGAAAAGAAACTGTTAGCATAGAACTTACAGCTATAACTTTTTTCACACCTTAAGATGGTCTGATGCTAAGCTTAAGGCATGAAACTGACAGTCACCATGTAGTGTTGACCCCTATGTCCACATTGTTGATAAAGATTATTTTTTTTATTCATACATTTAGAGAGCAATTGTTTCTTAATACCATTCTTAAGATCTATTATTGTTTTTGTTTTTTAAAAAGAATATAGCAGCAAGCCGATAGTATGAAATAATTCCTTTTTATTGAAATAATTTCCTGTGCTTATTTTTATGGAAATAATTTCCTTTTATTTTTATTGAAATAATTTCATGTGCTTATTTTTATTGAAATAATTTCCTGTGCTTATTTTTATTGAAATAATTTATTTTTATTTTTATTGAAATAATTTCCTGTGCTTATTTTTTATTGAAATAATTTCCTTTTCGTATTTTTCTTAGATTATTTATGTCCTTTATAATTGTTGGTTCTTCTTGCATGCATTTTAATTTCCGTCTCTGTTTCTTTTTACCATTTTTTAATTATATTCTGTTCCTTTATGATAAGAAGGATAGAAATGTCTATTAAAAAACAATCACCCATTTTAAAAAATTGCTAAGCATGAAACACTGTAAATGAATAAATAAAACAAAAATGTTTTTTTTGTGTGTGTGTGCAGCTATAGGGCCCTGTGTATTATTTACCCATAGCTGGGGGGAGGAAAGTGATGGGTTCGTACTTTCTGAATGGTATTTGCATGTAAGTGAATGTAACAAACTTTTCACATTCCAAGCCGCAATACATTACCCCACCCACAAATCCAAAATGAACCACCACCATGAACACGGATCAATAAATGTGTAGCCCAACCCTAGATATTAGCTAAATTTTGATCTGAAATTGTCACTGTATAATATTTCCTTTATGTGATTAATATTCACCACAGAATTAAAAGTACTGACATGGAAGGAGACGAGGTTAGAAAAAATTTGCTGTGTAAATTAAAAGCCTTTTTCCTTTATCAGGGTGTGGAGTTCTTGACATGCCAATCTAGTCTGTCTATATCTTTGTGATATTATTATGATTTTTTATTATTTAGATCATTTGATATAGTTCATTACCATATTCACAAAATTTCAGCTGTTGTATTTCTGACCGTCTTTGGTGATTGGAATTTGAACCAAACACTTTATTTCATCCACCGGGAAATAATTGAGACATCTGGTAGAGTCATGGCATGTGGAACAAGAACAATCTACCCTGGTAGGTGAAATGATGGGTTTGGTTTGAAATTCCAATCACCTGAAGAAGGCTGGAGTGTACAATGGCCGAAATGTTGTGAATATGGCAATGAAGATGAGGATAACAGTCTGAATAATGTAAATAATATAAAGTGCCAATCTAGCGTCTAAAGGTTTAGAATGAAAGACTTTGGGCATGATTGTTAAAAAAACGAAAACACCCGACCAAAGTTGAATAAAATCTTTGATCAAAGTAAATGGATTTTGATTATACAACATTTCACTCAGAGAAGAAGCTCACTTCTTCAATTTGCCAATATTGAAAGTAAAAAAAAACAAAACAAAAAAACAATTTACATTTCTAACAGGTTCCGTCTCCAACATCTTGGATCCTGGCATTGGCTAAATGAATTGCCAAAATTTGTTCTAGTTCTTAAATATTCAGCATTGCATATGCCAAGACAAAATACTTAAATAAACATGGTAACAATTTGGACACAAAATAATTGCAGAATAAATTTGGAAAAAGAACAAAATTAAAAGGTCGATATTTACATTTGTACTAATATCCTCATCTTTGTTGTTATTATCACAACGTTTTGGCTTTAGGTGCTTGTTGATCTCGATAACCTTTTGGGAATTTTGAACCAAAATCTTTAATTTATAAGGATAGAATTTTATCATTCTGCTGTCTCTTGGAACCTCTGGTTTTGGTTTGGTTTGATACTGCTCAATTATAACTAGCCATTTACATGGAATCACTGTCTGTACTACCTGGCTCAAGGATTGAACTATATGACCAAATTCACAAACTAATACCATAATTCTCTAGGCTATTGTCCCATAATGAAAGCCAGTATGCACAAAGTTCTGAAAATAATGAAAAAAAAAGACGCTGATGTTATTTTGATCATAAATAATGATAACTCCTCATCCCAGAAATGAAGAAGGTCAAAGGGTAGAAAGTTGAGATAATAACAACAAAAATGAGGATATCTGACTGTAAAAAATGTAAATATTAATAACTCTTTGTCTCAGAAATTCACAAAAGAAAATAAATGGTCAATGTTCAAATGTTTTTATAAAGCTGATGATGATGCTGATGCTGATGATAATTTATATTTGATGATTTTTGTTCCCCCCCTTTCCAGACAAACTGATCAAGTCTGGCAAACCAAACATTCATTTATACAAAATCAAATCTAATAATGCCAATTGGAGAACCCATTATTAAATCAGTTTGACTAACATGGCACCATGCTTTGAAAAGAGTGATTTTTTTTCACCAGTATATGATCAAATTTTGATACCATGGCAACCAGGCATTGATTTTTGAACTACCAAGAGGTTTTACAGATCATTCTTGATTTTGGTGACAAAATTTGAAGCAGACGTGAATTTTATTCAAACAATAACTCCAACTTAAATGACACTGCTCGTAGGCCAACTTTATATTATATTTTGCAATTTCAGCAATTTTATTACATTCTGATTCCATGGTAAAGTCCAAAGCTGGATTTCTCAATCCAGGCCAGTTGTTATTAATTTTATTATTTAAGAAAAAAAAAAAAAATCAGGGTTGGTAACACAAACACATGTCCCCCACTAAGAACATGTGTCCCCCCCACTAAAAAATATCTATCTACTTCAGTCTGTCTATATCTATGTCTATTCATATCTTTCTTTCTATCCCAGCTTGGTCATTACCTATCAATCACAGTCTGTTCACATACATCTATCTATCTATCTATCTCAGTCTGTTCACATACATCTATCTATCTATCTATCTCAGTCTGTTCACATACATCTATCTATCTATCTATCTCAGTCTGTTCACATACATCTATCTATCTATCTATCTCAGTCTGTTCACATACATCTATCTATCTATCTATCTATATATATATATATATATATATATATATATATATATCTAACGCTGCTTATATCTAGCTATTTTTTCTTATTAATATAAATTTTATTTTTAGTGGGTCTCCGTGTTTGAGCTGCTTTCCCTACGTTTTTTTTATTTCATTAAGAAATGAAATTAATAACCGGCACAAACTAAAACATGTGTACCCTCTTGTTATAACTGAGAGAAGATTACTGAATAGAAAAGGTTGGTAATGAATGATAATACTTAGGACAAGAACAACACATATAAGATTCTTCAGCGTCGCGTAGAAGAAGTAGTCAACTTGCTAGAAGTAAGTCAAGTGAATTTCACAATGAATCTTCAACTGCAGACCACAGACCAATTTATATATAGTATTCATTACTGTATTTATGGGAATGGGAGCATACCCATTATCGTCTGTAGGTATGCTACAACACTCCGAAAAATAACGTTTGTAGTAATGAGATAATGTTGGGTAAAAAATCCATTAAAACTGTTTATTATCTGTCTATATTTCTGAGATGAGGTCTTATTTTTTACTATTTACATTATTCGAATATATTGTCCTCATCCTTGTCGCCATATTTATTACAACGTTTTAGGGCCACTGTATGCTTTTTTCTTCAGGTGGTTGGAATGTTGAACTGAACCCTTTATTGAAAATTCACTGGGGTAGACTGTTCTAGTTCCATGTGCCATGTTTAATGGATGTGGATCTAACCAATGCCTTTATCCACTGTGCCATGTGTTCATATTGAGTTGAATACCTGTTTTCCTTTTTTTTTTTTTTTTTTTTACACATACCAAAGAAAACAAATTATTTTTTAATGTGCTTCTAATTTCTTGTCATCACTGTTATCATACACTGTTTAAAAAACAGAGTGTCCAATTTCAATCTCTCATTGCCAACTGTTATAACTCACCCTAGTGGTTATAATATTATGTGACTTAAAGAACTCTCTGTGAACCAATAACTTTTACAATGCAAAGAAGATATTTAGTTGATTTCAATTTTGATATATCTTTAATTTATATATACTATATAGTATATAAAAATATATTGTAGGGTGTCTATATTTTGTTGACTTGTATAAAAATATTTATTCCACAACAGCACACTGAATGTTTTTTAAAACCCTAAGTCATTTGATTTTTTTGTCCAAATTTTTGCACCGATGACCCTTGATCTGATAAACTGGTTGTATTTAAAAAAAAAAAAAAATATTTTGGGAATAATAAATTTTTTTTTAATTTTCAGATATCTTTGAATTTATTATGAATATTCTTTTGATATTTAAAATTTATAAGACTGTAATAAAATTTTGTATATTAAAAAAATATTTAAATATTTACAATATATATATATATATGTATACATGAAAACAATCACCAACCATAGAATTTATGATTTAGACACTTTGTTTTACATCAAAAGGATGATTTCATTAACTGGACTTTTTTCTTTTCTTTTTTTGGGGGTTAATAAACAAACTGGTCCATTGCCTGGGAATATTTAAAAGCAAAGAGTGTTCTCAACCACATTTTTTTATTTTCAACCATTGAGGATGCCAGTATCATGACATTTTGGCCCATGAAATCAAGAAAAATCATGCTTTTTTGTGAAAATCTCATGTTTTCTCTTTCTGCTTTCCATCTGCCTAATCTTCATTTGAATAAATATTCAATGCAAACAATGTTTATATTAGAAAAACTCAATCTCCCAAATTCTAAATAATAGACTTTGTCCATAATGTCCATGCACACAGATGAAGAAGATATTTTTCAATGTCATCTGTTAAAGTTTTTTTTTAATGCATTATACATTTGATGGCAATTTTTTGCAAATGTTGAATTGAAACTTTAGAAAATGAAAAAGAAATGACTAAAAATGAACAAGGATCATTTTGTTTAAATACACAGAGAAAAAATTTTTTTCTTATATTTCCTTCCCAAATTATAGCATTCAAAGCTTTTTATAAATAAATTTTTTAAGTTCATCTTAGAATATAATGATAGAAATTGAAATAAGTCTGATTTTTTGAAATTACATTTTTTAGAGCCCAAAATTCTTAAAAAAAAAAAAAAAAAAAAAAAAAAAAAAAACTTTACTCTGCTCCACAGGAAAAACATTTTACTTTATGCAAGTTACTATTGTTCATACTTTCAGGAATTTCTTGAAATTAAATATTTTATTTTATACTGTTATTTTATTTACATTATTTATATTCAGACTATATAATGATGAAAAAGAACCTTTTAAATAGTCTGATTACAAAATAACGGAAAAAAGTTTCATTTGAAATTCAGACATATTTTTATGAATAAACATTATTTATGACTATTCTTTATTTTAAAAAATAAATTTTTGCCCTACTAAAGAAAAATATGCCAAACAGGAATTGAACCCATGTCCCCTTTTTCCATCAAGGAAATCATTAAAATGTGAACTGTGTCATTAAAAAAATGGCCATGATCACCCTCAATCTAAGTTGGTTATTATTCTTTCACTATTTAAGAAAAAAAAAAAAAAATTAACTCAAAACTTGTCAATAAAAATAATTTTTTAGATAATAAGAAATGTTGAATTAAAAAATCTATTTAAAAAATTATTATTTAGGCAAATAAAAAAAAAATTTTCAAAGACCTTCTTTTATATTTTTTTTCCAGTTAAAAATAATTGAAAAAATCTTAATATTTTAGATTTTTTTAATAAATTCTTTATTAATTAAACGAAAAAACTTTTTTTTATATTTTACAAATATTTCAGTACTAAAATGTTACTCAATAATCTTTAATACGTTATATATTTAAAAAAGAATGTTATCAATATAAAACATTTTTTTCTAAAACAAAATCTTAAATTTGGGGGAATATTATACCAAAGTTATGTTTTACATCAAATCACAATTAGGACATTAATTATAACATTTTACCATGATTGTATTAAATTTTTAAGAGAAAAAGGAAAATGTGTCCTTTACTTACAAAATATAGAATTTGTTACTAAAAGTCAGTCAGGTTCTGATAGAGCAAAAGGAATTTCAATGTACTGTTGAAAAGTTCATATGAGAATTTTTAATAAAGATGATAGAAGGTTTTTGAAAAGCAATCTAGGGAAGAAATAAAAGTTTAACAAACAAAAATCAGACTATGAAAATGCAACAAAAGACAATGAAATGCATCTGAATAAAGAATAAAAAAAATTGTTATTTTTAAAATATTTGGAAACCCTTAATTAAATAACTGATTAAAAATTTAAATTTTGATAGTCATCTCAAATGAACAAAATTTTTTTTTTTTTTAGGCCAATTATCCTTATTAAAAAACTTTGATGCACTGATTTTTTTGGTCAATTTAAAAAAATTTAATACTGTTTTAAATTAAAAATGAGTATTTTAAGTATGTTTTAAAAATGCTATTATTTTGTGTATATAAGGCATGTTTAAATTAGAAATATGAGGATATTTCTTTTAAAAAAATTTGTGAACAAAAGCCTAATCAACAGAAAAAATAGGGCAAACATGGAAAAATACTTGGAAAAAAAAAAAAAAAAAAAAAAAAAAAAAAAATTGTTAATGTTTTAATGACAGTTATTTCCTTCCTTTATTTTTGATAAGTTTTCTGTTAAACATTTTGATCATTTAAATGTACAATGGATGGTTTTTAAAATAAAAAAAATCTCAATATTTAAAAAAATAATTGATTTCTCCAATTTAAGAAAAACTAATAAAAGGATTCTCTCCCTTATTGATGTTGCTATGAAAAAAAAAAAAAAAAAAAAAAAAAATCATTAATAAAATTAAAATTGATTTTTTTTGAGTTTTTAATAACATTTTTGGATTTTTTGAGCCAAAAAATAATTATAATCATGTTTTTTAGGAAAGGCAGCTCTAGAATTAATTTTAAAGATAAAAATAGATTCTGAAATGTCATGAATTTTAAATGCAATTCCAAAATTAAGAGAAAATTAGAAATTGATGTAAATTGGACAATTTTTGAAATTAAAAAGCTCAAATTTTTTGAATTGTCTGACTGTAACACATGAACAAAATTTCAGAAAATAGAAGTGGTAAAGGGTGACATGCCCTGGATGATTTGATATGAAATGACCCAAAGAGTTTTTAGAATTGAAATAAAACCTAAACATATGAAAAGTGAATTTATAAATTTTTTTTCTTTTGAGAATTAATATTTTTTTTAAGCAATATTTATTTATTAAATTGTTTATAATCAAGACTAACAGATGAAAACAAAACTAATTTTATATTTAAAATTTTTAATTTTATATTTACAAGACTAATTTTATATTTTTACAAATTTTTTTTTATATTTAAAAAAACTAATTTTATATTTACAATTTATTTTTATATTTACAAGACTAATTTTTATATTTACAAGACTAATTTTATATTTACAAGACTAATTTTATATTTACAAGACTAATTTTATATTTACAAGTAACTAAGGAAAAAAATTATCAAGACTAATTTTATATTTACAAGACCAATTTTATATTTACATGACTATAATTTTATTCAACAAGACTAATTTTTATTTACAAGACTAATTTTATATTTAAAAAACTAATTTTATATTTACAAGACTAATTTGGTATTTATCAAGACTAATTTTATATTTACAAAAAATAATTTTATATTTACAAGACTAATTTTATATTTACAAGATTAATTTTATATTTACAAACTAATTTTTATTTACAAGACTAATTTTTTATATTTAACAAAACTAATTTTATATTTACAAGACTAATTTTATATGCAACAAGACTAATTTTATATTTACAAGACTAATTTTATATTTACAAACTAATTAATTTTTTTATTTACAAAGACTAATTTTATATTTAAAGACTAATTTTATATTTATAAGACTAATTTTATTTTTTGCAAGACTAATTTTATATTTTTTAAGACTAATTTTATATTTACAAGACTAATTTTATAACAACAAACTAATTTTATATTTAAAAGACTAATTTTATATTTACAAGACTAATTTTATATTTGCAAAGACTAATTTTATATTTACAAGACTAATTTTATATTTCAAGACTAATTTTTATTTACAGCACTAATTTATTTTTCCAAGACTAATTTTATAGTTTTACATTACTAATTTTATATTTACAAAGAAAAAATTTTATATTGGAAAGACTAATTTTATATTTACAAAACAAAGTTTATATTTACAAGACTAATTTTATATTTAAAAAGACTAATTTTATATTTATTTGTAGAATGAATTTATAGGCACAAACTAATTTTTCAAAGACTAATTACAAAAAAAAAATTTTAAAAAAGACTAATTTTAAATTTACTTGACCACTAATTTTTATATTTACAAGACTAATTTTTTATTTACAAGACTAATTTAACATATTTAGGTGTTTTAATTTTATATTTACAAGACTAATTTTATATTTACAGACTAATTTTATTTTTACAAACTAATTTTATATTTGAACAAGACTAATTTTATATTTACAAGACTAATTTTATATTTACAAGACTAATTTTATATTTACATTAATCAGATTTACAAAAAGACTAGCAAATATTTACAAGACTAAAAAAAAATATTTACAAAACTAATTTTTTCCAGAAATACACAGACTAATTTTATTTTTACAAGACTAATTTTATTATTTAAAAACTAATTTTATATTTGTAATAAACTAATAAACATATAATGAAAGTGAATTTATTTTGAGAATTTACAACAAAATATTTACTATTTATTTATTAGATTTTTTATTTACAAGAATAATTTTATATTTACAACATTCTAAAACTAATACAATTAAAATTAATGCAATGTAATATTTATCATTTACCAATTTATAAAGAAATAAATATGAAAACAATTTTTTTTAATCATAAATATATAAACATTTACTAAATTATTAAAATATACATACCAACTACAAGGAAATCCTTATTATTTACCATTTTATAAAATTTGAATCAATTGACAATTAACCAATGTTTTTCCAACCATTCAATAAACAATATAATAAATAGTGTAAATAAACAATCTAATAAATAAAGTTTCAGATTTATTGTTTTTGTTGTCAATTCTCAAGAACAAAGAAAATGTATAATTCATTTTCAATGTTTAGCTTTTATCACAATTCTAATCATCACTTTTTAAAATAAACATTGCCAAGGAGTGAAGGTAGTTAAAATAATAGCGGTGTCAAGGGAAAAACCATTCTTTTGACACTCCACTTTTTTTCTGGTCAGAAAGG